CGGGGGAGGCATTGTGACATCACAGAGAGAGAGAGAGAGAGAGAGAGAGAGAGAGGTCCGTTCAAAGTGTGACAATTTGTCAGTATAAAGTATAGAGACGGGTGCCCGAAAAAGTGTGACGTCATACCTGAACGGCCTTTAAGGAAACCTTCGTTGTCCTAATAAAATAATCCTCACTAAAATTTTGGGTTATATAATATACCTCGACCAAAATTTCGTATTGATCAGGACTTCACAATGTACGGAACTTTCGGACTATTTTTTTCCGTACTCCTTTACATGAGAACAGTACAAAACGTCCCGCACATTTTACCGTGCCTCCTTACTCTATTCTGCTATACGTTTTCCGTTCGAAATTGCGTTATTTTATGTTCTTGAGCGTACCCAGGAGGAGCGCAGAAAGGTGACCACCCGTTGCAAGCGGGTGTGGTGTGCGTTCGGCATCACGTCGTGCATCCACCAGCTCAGGTGCGCCGACAGAGGCCCAGGCGGCTCTGTGGCCGCCGCCTCGCGAATCGACATCCCCGGACGTCTGGCCACGGCAACATACATGGGAACAATCGGCATTTAGAATCGATGTCACGATCAGAGGTCGAAACCTTTGATTTTAATATTTAAGTTGTCACTTTAGGGGTGTTCAAGTACACTGCAAATCCAAGTGTAGGACAGGTCGACAAAGCGTAGCCCAGTTTGTCCTACGCTTGCAAGTGTCGACCACTTGTGTCCGTCGCCTGCAAGTGTCGACCACAGCATGTGCGACGGCTGAAGTGTGGACCCACAATAGGAAACTCAGTGTAATTTGCCGTAGGACAAACAGTGTCCTACACATGCAGGCGTCGGACAGAGTGTGGTCGACACTTCAGAGCGTCGGACACAGCTGGTCGACACTTGCAAGCGTAGGACAAACTGGCCTACGCCTTAAAGTGTCGACCTGTCCTACACTTGGATTTGCAGTGTACACGTGCTCTTCGATGGGGTTCTGGTTGGTGTATGCAGCGATTCCAGCTGCTCACTCTCACTTTTTCTCACTTTTGAAACGAAAGAACGGAGCTGCTCAGTTTTCGAACCAAAAACTCACTACTCTCACTATTTGATCAGTTGGGTCATTAAACTTAGTAATATTTTAAAAATATGAGAGATTTTGGGGAATGAAAATGCTTTTTTTCACTAAGACAGCTGAAGGTTGAAAAAGCAGTCGTCTTTTGGCTGTGTTTGGGCGCACCGAAAAGTGACTGGTCGTGCGTCTGTCTATTTCTTTATGTAATCACTCACGTTTCTCAGCAAATACCTCAGGGAAAGTATCCGAATTTCTAAACCCCCTCCAGGGGAAGTTGATCGCAGATTAACAATTAGCATTGTTTTAGTATTCAAAACATTCTTTTGAACTAGGTTATTAGCGTTGTTATGCCTAGGTTGGTAGCAGCGTGTCGCTGACCAATTTCTTATGCCTGCTTCAGTAAATTTAACAAACTTAAGGGCAAAAGTACTTTCAAAGAGGTTCTGAGGCAGTTTTTTGGCATTCTAGGATGATTAAAACTCTTCAGGAGTGAAAGTGATATTGATTTACGTTTTTCGACAAAGGATACAGCTAGAAAGGCATTTAGGGGTATTTTTGGAATCGGGGTGACGAGACAGAGCCAACTATGCCAAATTCGGGAGAATCGGAGAAGTTTGGACCCGGGTTCAAATACCAGTGGGGTCTATTATGATTATTTTTTTAAGTTTTTGCATTGTTTGTCATGTTTTTGAGGGCGCTGGTGACGAAAATAACATCTATTTTGACCCCAGTCTCAGATTCAAAACCCGTTAGGGTTAAACATAGGTGAAATTCGCACATTTCTAGATGTAAGGGACGGGCCAAAGTTGCCGATGTGTCGCTACTTTTCCTGTTATAAAAGTTCAGAGGAAATCGAATCAGGGAAATGCATAAATAACTACTGTTGAAATTATAAGGCAATTAGTAGGAGAAATGCGGATAGAGCTAGCAGAGTCCCACTCCTTCGAGGAGGGTGAGGGGAAGGCGGGGTCGTGGGTGGGGTTAATGAGACTCAGGTTGGTCGAAGTCCTTATAGACACGCAGCATTTGCATAATAACGGGAACACTGGCGACACGCATCGGCAACTTTGGTCTGTCCCGTGCATTTTCAAATTCGTGAATTTTGCATATGTTCAACCCTCACGGAGTTTGAACCTGAGTCCGGGTCAAAATGGATGTTATTTTCGTTATCAACACCCTCAAGACTATTTAAAACATCGCAAATTTGACTTTATAAAAAAATGGACGTATTGTACCCCACCGGGATTTGAAAACCCGGGTACCAACTTTTTCACGCAGGGCTGAAAAAAAGGGTTGGCACTGGGATCACCGCCACGGCGTCCTGGTGGGCGAGTGCCCACGTGCATGACTGCGAATTTTTTTGACCCAGGTTCAAAGACCTCTCCTTCTTTCAAAATATTTTCTGCGTGTCAATAATCAAAACGGGTGTTGTTTCTACGCAGCCTGCATATGATACATAACTACAATGTTTAGGTAGAATTTTGTACGTGCAACTTGCACACATTTGGCTGGAGTTATTTCCCCTTGGAATGCACGCAACGTGGAAACAACGCTTCGACGAATTAGTCATACTTTGTTAGGAAATACAAATTATTATCCCTGCTTAAACAAATACGTACACTACAAAATCAAATGTGTACTTCGTTCACAGCTGTGGGAGTGTGCTTAGAAGAACACATCTACAGGAGTGTGCTTGGAGAAGCAGACATTCTTCCTCACCAAATTGAAAGCACAAAAGCACACTCCTAAAGCTTGTCACACTCTTCTATCCTTGTCAGGCACACTCCTGATGCTTGCCCATGCAACACTCCTGCAGATGTGTGCTTTGAAGCACATTCCCATAGAGATGTGTACTAAGCATACATATGTCCTTGTAAAGTAGTTACAGATTAAAAAGTCAGAAACGTGCTGAGAATTGGTAAATTGTCTGAAGCTCAACGCTGACCGGTCACAAGCCTAGGTCTGGACGAAGTTCACAACAGCGGCTGCTAGGTGGGTGCCTGCTTTATAATAACTTTTCTTCTTCACTAGGCGATGACTGGAAAGGTCGATTCGGCAATGCTCCTCACATTAGAACTGCGACTTTGCTTCTCCAGCTGCTGTTGTAACCTGGCCGGTGCCTTCCGACTCACTGCCCTTATCTCCACTGAAAGCACACAGTTAATTTCTTTCTGATGGCCACACTGAGGGCTTGAGGAGACCAATTGTCTTAATGCTCTTAATTGTCGCCGAAGCACGCGTCACAATTTCCGAATCGAATACCGAGAATAATTTAAAGGGGACCTTGATTCGAAAGCGCCCAGAGGAACAATACACTGGTGGAACATGAGGCTACTTTCACTTCCTTCTTAGATAAACGAGGTGGTACACGCGAGGCCCAACCGTATTTTTGGCGGGTGATTTACTGACGAGGGAACAAACGGACGTTTCAACCATTTTACTCTAATTCTGTTCGGAGCCGAATCAGGAAGTTCTTAAGGGAAGGGAACGGCCGTAAACTGCAGCTGTCCAAAACTATAGTAGCCAAAAACTACAGTTGTCCGAAATAACTGGCACTTTTACTACAGTTTAACTGTACTTTGGGCTTCACTCTTTTTGCACTCCAGCAATAGTTAAACATTATTTTAACTGAAATAATATGTTAGTTTTATCTAGAGTCAATAACACAAAAAAACAGTATATTAATTGTTATAGTGCAAACTACAAATCCTTCCACCCGAGTTGCGGCCTCAAATATCAGATAAATTAGAGTAGTAATGCCTTAAAGTTTAGGAAAAGGTTTAGTTTAAAACGTATTGCGGATTTTTCTTCCCGTTTCGTTCCACGTTGATTGTCCCTGAGTGATCCCCACCACCTTTGCTCCGGCCAGGACGCCGTAATCCGCACCTGAAGAGGGTCAGCTCCGGCCGGCAGGGAAATGACCCCTCCCCGAGGGGTGAATCACTCGGCGTTCTGGTGTACACATGAGTACATGAGTACGGGTAAGTACACCATATTTTACTCATAAATTTCACATTTGTGAACGTTTTAAACGGCACTCAACGCCAAATCGGTCGAAAAACTGGAGATTTTCACCCCTTTTAAACTTGTGAGTACACTGAGTACGGACTAATTTGTACACATGAGAACACTAGTGATTCACCCCCCCCCTCGAGTTTCGTCCGCTGGATCTCCCGAGGATGGTACAAACAACGTGAGTTCACTGTACCGTGCATTAAAGGCAGCTGTTTCCAAATCTTCGCGGTAGTCGCAACAGCTAAGTTGAGAACAAGAAAGTCCCGTACTTTTCTTCTATCCACAAATAACACCCGCAATCACTGTAATGCAAAGGGTGAGACATCACCAATTTTCGGCGATACAAAATGTATCACCGGAAAAAAGGTCGTACACGCATGTATCACCGAAAAAATGGTCGTACACGCATGTATCACCGAAAAAAAAAGGTCGTACAAGGTGAGACATCAGCGAGATTGGCCCTTGTTTTCCTGAGGAATTATCACCCTTTTTTCGGTGATACATTTGTGTACGACCCTTTTTTCGGTGATACATGCGTGTACGACCATTTTTTTTGGTGATACATGCGTGTACGACCTTTTTTCCGGTGATACATTTTGTATCGCCCTTTTTCGGCGAGACAGTTGTGTCTCACCCCTCAGAGAATGAGATGTATCACTATTTGATTTGAAGAACTTAGTATTTGTATTGATGTTGCGTAGTGTAAGTACCACCTATAGGTTCAGGCGTAGAAACCCGTAGGAACCTCACGAATAGTTTAGATGATAGATTAAAGATGTGCAGATGGATCAGATGTGCTTATACTTCATTTTTAATTTTCGATCCCAACATTGCATTGTAAAATAAAATAATTTGGAATAAGTTAAAAAACGTACGACTAGATAGTTTGGCAAGAAAACGCTTTACTAAGTCTTCAGTTTTTCAAAACCGTTTATTTTGTGACAACACCTTAATAATAAGAAAACACTTTATTTAATTCATTACAAAATTAAATTCTTGGAGCAAAGAAAAAACTACACACGGATATGTTAACAAGAGAACGAACAAAGTAACTTGAAATTCATTCACAAGTCAACAGACAGGCAGCCGCACCAATAAAGTGGGCCCGCAACAACATACATTGCAGCTTTGATAAACAAGACTTTAATTTTATTATAAACTCTACACATTGTGTCACATTCAACCAACCACCAACCCTAGTACTTGAAGTTGACATGCGCAACGGCCATGACTTTCTTGCTTAACCACAAGAGCCTCTAAAAGAGCACACTCAATTCTTGTGGACTTTTCTATGCAAAATATTGCATGCACAGACACGTACGTAAGATGTGCATAATATTATACATCGCTGTATACATTTTAAGCAGGGATGTGCATAAAATGTACACAATGATGCGTAATAATATGCACACTTGACGCAAGTATCTGTGCATGCGTAATTGGGCATTAAAAAAGCCCCCAAGAGTCCCACGCGCAGGACAACCGCACCCCCTGCTCCAGGTGCTCCAGGTCTGGTCGCGCCGCCTTCAAGGCTGTGATCACAGCTGGCTTCGCTGGGCTTGTGATCTCGGATAACCGTCGCAGATTTGGCAGTGCGGCGAGCGCCTTCACGTAGTCGTTCTTCCCAGCCCAATGGAGGTCGACATCTTCAAGGAGGGGCATGCAGCCAAGGAGTTCCTCTACCAAGTCCTGGAGGAGAGTGCAGGTAAGAAAACGTCAGAAAAATCGGATTTACGATGGAAAAGTCAGTTTATCGATCGCGAAATGGAGTTTTGCCATGATTGGATGTACTGGATACATTAACCAGTGAAATTGAAACCTCGACAGCTGATGTGAACAGCTCCAGGGTCGGGCAGTTTCTGAGACAGTCTGCAACATCTGTGAGTCGGACAAAGCCTAAACCGTGATGTGGCCTTGCTTGCTGTGTCTTCACTGAGAATAAAAGAGTCATGATCATGACTAAAATTTTGGTTGAGGAATTCTTTATCTTCCAAATTTGGGCAAGGAAACCTTTCCCACCGAAATTTGGGTGAGGAAAGTTTCCTCACCCAAATTTGGGTCGTAATACTATGAAGCTATATAGGTAGCTGATAGACCCTTCCTCACCCAGATTTGGGCGAGAAAGCCTTCCTCGCCCAAATGTGGGCGATAAAGCAAACACGATAAAGAGTGTGTACTCAAGAGAAAAGGACAAAGAGAGTGTACTCCTGAGTACGCGCTGAAGAGTGTGTGATCGTGCGTTCACGATAAAGAGTGTACTGTGTACACTGTTTAGTTAGCAGAGCACTTCTGAATTCTGATTTCAGAGCTTGCACACAAGATTTCGATTCAAACCTATTGGTTTAAAAATTTGGGCCGGATTTCATTTTGAATGTTAATCACATCTGCTACAAATAGACACACGGTTGTTTGACAGAAAAATACATACGACAAAATTTTTCTTCATGAATACTTTTTCTTTCGATATCCTCGATAGAATATATCACAGACAATTTTTTATTAAATGAGCCTGTGTCAATTTGTGGCCAATATGATATCAAACAAAATTAAAGTAAATTGGTTAGCATTGCGCGCAAAATACTTCGTAAGGTTTTAAGCTTGCGTGAATGGTTACCTCGAAGCCATCGTCCAGCCATATTCGCACTTGGGTGGCGTTGTGCGCCGCGCGAGCCACGGCCAAAAGCAGCTGCGCCACCGCGGGTCTGGCCGCCTCCCAGAACTTCTCTTCCGCGAACCCCCCGTTGCACTGGAACGAGAGGCGACGGACCCCAGCCAGAGCCTCGCCGTGCTGTGCCAGCAGGACTGCGATGCGAATGGCATCCTTGGGCTGCACCTGCATCGTCAGAGGCACAACAATCATTAGACAGAAATGTGACAACTGCGAAGTGCCAAATATCGCCAACTATACACAGCTTGACCCAATTATGTTCACATGATTGTTTATTTTGAAGGTCTGGGCAAAGGTACCGATAGTGCATTACGGAGCACAACCGAAGTCCAGAACAAGACGCATGCCCCTTTCGCAAGGCTTCGAAGAAACCAGAACACCTTTTTTCCCACACGATTATTTTAAAAATAAATTGTTTTCCGTATGACCTTTCAGGCGTTGGAGGTAGAGCAAACTGGAACGGTAAAAGCGAGCAACCCCCCCCCCCCTCAACTCTTTTCAACAACTTAGAGGTCATCAGCTCACAGACGCAATAACAACAAAATCTTTCAAAATACATAGCTTGAAAAACCTGTTGACTTATGATCTCGTTTTAATATTTAGGGTTCCCAATGTCTACAAGAAATAAGACTCTGGAGCATCGTTTCGAATTCCACGAGGAAAACGACTACTTTGTCAAATCAACGAAAAAAACGCCTCGTTATCCTTCCTTGAACGAAGCATTTTGCTTCATTTCGGAAGGCGGCGTGCAAATATTACGTCATCACTGTTTTTTTTGGGGGGGGAGGGTTTTGGCCCCTAATGCGGTACTATCTTAAATACATGGGAAGGTTAGGTTAAACCGATGATGGGGAGGGGGTCATAAAGAGCGGCCTAAAAGAGGTGCCGTAATAGGGCCTATTTGCACGCCGCCAAAGCAATTATACATCTCTTCACTTCCTTTGTTGACGAAACAGATGGTCGCATTTTGGGGACAATGAACAAAAGGTACGCAAGACTAATTGGCACTGTTGTAAGGTGCACCCACCTCCTGTTCAGACAGCCACAGCTCCAGGGAGTGCAGGTGCCGCAAGCCGACCACGCAGCCCACGTGCATGAGGTTGGCGGCCAGGCTGCGGAGCTGGGCGCAGTGCGACACGCTCTCCAGCAGCTTGGGCGGCAGGCCGCGCGGTTTCTTGCCGGCTCGGATCAGGAACCTGCCCAGCTGGTGCTCGTCGGGCAGGCGGAGGTGGCGCAGCCTGGCGGCAGTGCCGCGCACCAAGTCCACCATCAGCTGGGGAGGGCCCTCCTCCTGCAAGTACAGGGACCTGCGGACACAGTTTGAACAGTGCACTCTAAATGTCTTACGAAGAAATTTCCCATAATACGAAGGAAATGGCGCAAGCATAATACGAAGGTGGTTTTCCTTCGTATTGCGAAGGTTTTTCTTTGTATCTTACAATGAAAAAGCTAAAAAGATTCGTATTACGAAGGAATATTGCTTCGTATTATGCTTGCGCCGAATTCACTGTAACATACGAATAACACAGGTCAAATTTCATTGTAAGACATTTAGAGTGTGAGCCACAAGACTGGCGCCGGCGGTCAAACCTCTGGACGCCTCTTGAGCTCTAGAAGAATCACAAAACAGGACTCGAACCCAGCTAGCGACTTCACAAATTATGTCCTCGTTCGTAGAGAAACCCATTGGTGGGGTCACTCGGTTCGAATCCCATGTCGAAGGGAATCCTGTTCAAAAAGTTCAAGATCGCGCGGCAGACGAGGTATGAGAAATCACTAGGCGCGTCGCTAGGTGACCCGAATTAGAGTAAAACGTACATTTCGATCCACAATACTGACAAAGTGACGTACGAAACGTGCAAGGAAGAGTGTGTGAGACGGACATAGCTGTGGATGCGGTCAAAATCACAAATGCAAGAGTTGTTAACAACCCTGTGTGCCGCAGGATTTCTCATACCTCGTCTGCCACGCGAGCTTGAACTCGCAACGCTACTTCAAGATAGTTAAATGCAGATATCTCGGGAACGAGAAATAGTACTTTTTGGGGTTTATCTTTTTCTTATCTATGTTTCACGGGGAATTTTTTAAGACGTTACCCAGCAAATTTGGTGGTGCAACTAACTTTCTACGATAAATCAAAGGTAAGGTTATTTGGTGTCAAACACTATTTTTAATTTTAAAAAGAAAACAAAGGAAGTCCTTTTTGTGAAATTTCTCCTCTTTCCAACGGTATGCTTGGTTTCTCGATCCGATGGACATTATCGAAACTGCGTGCGAAAAACTGTCTGCGTGTCGCTGTCCCGGCACCATATTTAACCTCTCAATATCTCGGCTTCTAGATATTTTTCGGCCACATGCTTTTGGATTTAGTCATCCCACTACTAGACCAACGATTTGCGTAAGTTTCGTCCCGATCCGAGACCATGCCGTTTTGTGACTGACTCAGTTGGCGTGGAATCACCCACCATCAACAACAGAAAAATTAAATGGTACATGTTAAGGAGGCAAAACACTGAAAATGGCCCAAAATTTTGCGGATGGTTCAAAGGATCGGAGGCACTGCAAATCAAAGTTCCGAAAAAATTCTGACGTGCGGGCTCAGTCTGCAAAAATGAAGATACCGCTTCCCCGCTTGCGCTGGCGCCAAAATGTACTGCACCCGTTGAACGAGGTGGAAGGGCACGGGCAGAGGGAAAAGCGAAAGCAGGGCAGACTCACTAACCTCAGCGCGGGCAGTAGGTCCTCCTTGACTTGGAACTCCGCGGCGTACGGAAGAAAGAACTGCATTTCCAGCCGCAGCGTTTCCAGGCACCGCAGCTCCACCAGCACTTCCAGCAGGGAGCGAGAGTCGTGGCCGTCTGCCTCGGCCCAGGCAGCCACCTTGTCGTTCTGGTCATTCTCCAGGGCCAGGTCAGGGTCCAGGGCCACGTCGTCGTCCGCAGCCTCTGCTGCTCAGAGAACATTACGTCGCACTTGTTAAAATGGTAGTTCTACACCCTTGAAACCTCACCAAGTATTTTGAGCATACATACGTACAAACAGATTTACTTTGTTATTCGAGGGAATAGTTCGTAAATTACGAAGTATTTTCTTTGAAAGCTTACGTACACTCTTAAAACCTTACGAAGTATTTTGAGCATACGTATAACAAACTAAAATACGTTGTTATACGAAGAAATAGTTCGTAAATTACGAAGTATTTTCTTTGTAAGCTTACGTATGCTCAAAATCCTTTGTTATACAAAATAGGCCCAAAATAGTTTGCAAGGTTTTCTCAGTGTATGCTCAAAATACTTTGTTCTAACAAACTGTTTGCTTTGTAAGGCCTGAAATAGTTTGTAAGGTTTTCTCAGTGTACCACGTCAGTGCGAACGCTTCAAATCAAAAGGAGAAACTATTTGCGCCAATATATGGCGAGACAATAAAATCTCGCGAAGTTTTAATCAGACCTGAAAGTTTCCCCAAATTTGGTCAGACAAAACTTTCTCGTCACAAGAGTGCCAGGCATATCTGTCCGACCACTGTGAAAGCGCTGGGGCGTCCATGCGGTGTACCGTAAAAGGGTACTTTCGTAGATCCTGAACCGGAAGCAAGCAGACGCCATATTGGCCGGAAACTAACCTCTCTCCGGATCTAAAACTATAGCGGAGCTGTACAAATGTTGCTCGCGAGACACATATGCACTGCAAATAAGTATAAAACGACTGTTAATGTTCAAGTGTGGCCGATACGTTTGACTGTCGTCTCGTTCCTATGTCAAGTTGATCTACTTCCGCCAACATGGCGTCTGTGTGCTTCCGGTTCAGGGATCTACGAAAGTACCCTATTGCGCGGCCCACGATGTAGGAGCGTTCCTACATCGTGGTGCGGCCTTTACAGTGGTCAGCCAGTCTCGCCTTTTCGTGAGGAGACATTTTTGTCTGACCAAATTTTGGCGACATTTCCAGGTGTGACCAAAACTTGGCGACACTTAGCGTCTCACCTCTGGAGTGGCAAGAAGTCTAACCTTTGGATTTGTAATGAAGTAGGATATCACATCCGTTCGGACGCGAAAACACGTTGAAACAGACGTGAATACAACTTATGAAATCCGCAACGACCTACACTCTTGAAATTTCCCTAATTCACTCTGTGGCAAAAACCTACGGAAAATTCAGCAAAATTATTTTGCCCAGATTCTCCGTAGCCCTTTTGTCAATGATCTCACAGTATTCTCCGTAGAACATAACCCTTCCCCGTAGGACTATAGATCTCCCAGAAAATTATAGGACCTACGGATAATACTGACGAAGATTCGAATATTGGTAAGACGGCTACGGAGAACTATCACAAGCTTGTTTGCAGAATTTTCCGTAGCTTTTGGCCATGCTGCGAGGGAAACAACGCAAGCACGATACGAATGCAGCTTTTCTTCATACGAATAAGGTTTGTCTTTGAAGCTGCAATTTTAAGCACATCCGTCGCTGATACAATTTTGTGTCCACCAGGTGACACAATTTGTCCAATGACAGCGCTTTGCAAGACGGATTAAACAGTTTAAGGGGAGGTTCTGGTGAAAATCTCGCCATTTTCCAAGTGGATCCCACAGTCATAATTTGTTCGGAAGATAAAATTTTTCATTGAGGAGACTAAAATTTGACTTTTGAAGGCACATGCCAGGCTGTAAACCCAGTCGAAGAGTCTTTTTGAGCCTATTTTGGCTGTATCTTAAAAAATCTCCTTGCGCATACTATTTTGTCGTAACAGGTTGACCTTGACATTTTTCACTTCTTCAATTCATTTTCAAAAGATTCCGGCATGCATAGCTCAAAACTTCCATTATATTATTAATTATTAACTTTTTAAGCTGAAAAGTCCTTAAAATGTGTCTATTTTGTACATTTTTGATCAATTATAGTGAAATGCTTGGTTAGAAAGCTTGTGAATAAAAATGCAATTGACATTTTGAGGTGTGCATGCCGGCATTTTTAAAAAATGAATCGAAGAAGTGAAAAAATGTCTAAGCCAACCTTTTACGACAAAATAGTATGCGCAAGAAGATTTTTAAAGTTATAGCCTAAATGGGAGAAAATGGCTCTGCAACTGGGTTCAGGGCATAGAATGTGCCTCCCCAATGAAAAATTTTAATAAATACTTGATAAGACATCAAATTTTTAACAAATTTTCACAGTGGGACCTATTTAGGAGAAAATAGCATTTTCACCAGAACCTCCCCTTAATCACCTGGTGGACACAAAATTTTATCACCGACGGATCTGCTTACAATTGCATCATTCATGGAACGAAACAGATGCTATGACATTTGTGACCATTGCAATTAATTCCCGAAAATGTTTCGTATCTTGGAGAAATTTGGCTCTGTATACAAGGTAGGTTTACGCCAGACCGCGTCTTGTCGTAACAGGCTTCGCGATGTCTCGCGGCCTGTTCCTCCAATCCGCGCCTGGCGTACCTACCTTGGCCTGCGGCGCTAGCCTGCCTTCGGCAGACATTGGCTTGTCCATCGTCGGTTACTTCTTACGTGATGCATGCTGAGGGGCTCCGCCCCCCAGACTCCCCTTCATTCTTCATTCTAGAAAGAGTTGCTTCATCTACAGATAACACAATCTGGACCCTTGTCACTTTTTAACTTGTCGGGGCTGGGGGGCTCCGCCCCCCAGACCCCCCTTTCTTCAAGGCAGAAGTGATCTGCCTGCAGAAAATTCGATTTTTCGCCGTTTTTTAGGTGTTTTTCGGCTGTAAAAACTGAACCAGTTGAGCTAGGATAGTGAAATTTCGCGTGTGCCGAGCCAAGAACATACCTAATAAGCCTGCAAAATCTCAGCCAGATCGCCCGAGCCGTTCAGGAGGAGTAGTGTACACACACACACACAGACAGACACACAGACAGACAGGAAAAACTTTTCAACCCCACTGGAGTAACAGGCTTCGCTATCGCTCAGCCAATAACCTACACATAATTCACTGTAAAGTATGGCTCAAACTTCATTGAAAGGTAATTAGAATTTACTTTCTGGGGTACTACACTCTTAAAACTTTACAAAGTATTTTGAGCATGTATAACGAACTAAAATACTTTGTTATACGAAGGAGTAGTTCGTAAATTATGAAGTATTTTATTTGTAAGCTTACGTATGCTCAAAATACTTTGTTATACAAACTACATTTCTTTGTAAGGCCCAAAATAGTTTGTAAGGTTTTCTCAGTGTACATAATAACTCTCACCTGCGTCGACCATGTCCTCCTCCTCTTCGTCCTCCTCCCACTCCTGAGGCGTCTCCACGCTCAGACTGGTCAGGTGCTCCCTGTTACGCCACAGCAGGCCGTAGAACACAGCCCAGGCGGGGTCGGCCATGAAGGACACGCCGCCCATGTAGATCTCGCGTATGGCCGCACGGCTGCGACGCACAGCCGACAGGGTGATGGCCTGCGGTACGTTGATGTGTGGCCCGGGGCAATCCCACGACCAGCTAATTGGAAAAAAAATAAAAACTTTTAAATTTTAACTTCGACACAAAGAAAAAACCTACAGAAAAAGAAGCCTTAGTGATTATGCGTACTGTTTCACAGAATACTTGATGAAGCACCAAGTGGTGAGGGGCCTGCCACATGGGACACTAGTTGCGCACTTAGATCTACACCGCGGACTTGGCACTTTTTGACTTTCAGTCCCCGAAAAAATGCCTTTGCGGGCTATGTTTAAAAGGCGTTTCAAGAGTTGCTAATCAAAACAAGATAGTACTGCAGAGACATATTTTTTGGTCCGAAACCATCTCATATTCCACAAACCGTAAGAGATAGAGCAAAACTTTCTGAAAACAACTTGTCAGGAATCCAATTTCGAACAAAAAAGGTCTTAATGCAAATTGCTGTCAGACGCACCGATCAATGAGATCTCGTTGGATTGAATATTCAGCAGGTGCCAATGTCGCGAGCATTGACCGACGTCTACAGCGGATTGTACTTTCATTAGACAATTTGTTCCACCTGGCGAACTCAAATTTGTTTACCATGCTTATAGATCCATTATCCATGGGTAAAAAAAAGTCCTATGACATTCAGTGTGTACTCTCATTTAAAATCCACTTGGAACTTAATCGAGCCCTAGCAATTGCAATCGATAACGAAGAAAATACACATTCAGATGTACCATTTTTCCTTCCACGTTAGCAAATCCCTCTCTCCGACTCTCAAGCCCACTTTACCAGAAGAAAAATATAAAATTTTCCCAGTCTATTGTTGTAAACTTATATGCACCACCATGGAACGACCATTCAAAGGAGTACTAAAAGTGGGAATTTGGAATAAAATCATTAGAATTTACAGGGAACTTTACGATAAAAAGATCCGAAAATACCGAAACATCCAATATTTTGGTTTCAATTTCCGGCAGGTGTAATGCCGAAAAAGACATATTTTAAAAACGTCTCCGGAAACTTTGAACGGAGCTTCGGAGCTCACTTTTAGGGATCTTCCATTGAATTAAAGCCAGTGAAGAGGGGAAATACAGTGAAACTGACCCGAGGTAGCGCAAGACTGGGGCGTGCAGCATCACGCGCACCTTGGCCATGGCGGCCTTTTCTCTCTTGACGCGCTCGGCGCGGGAATCGCCTCGCCAGTGCCAGTCCAGCATGCCGAACTCGACGCGCACGCCGCGCCAGGCCTGCGGGTCACGTGACAGGGCGTGCCAGCGCTTGCACACCAGTGCCACGCCGTCAAGCAGCGCCTCGCCGTCCTCGAGCCGCGAGAACACCTCCAGCAGCAGCTCGTTGGGCAGGCTGTCCATGGCCGGGCAGCTAAAAACCTGAGAACACATTTTCTGAATCACATCTCTGCACACTTCATGAATTTGAGTGTTGAAAGCAGAGTCGCACAAACCCGAGCGAAATGGTGCTCAAATTCGTACGAAAAGCACGTGTGCGCAAAACTGTGAGACCGCGTACAGAACTTGAACGAAAAATTTAGTACATGACTTCGTTCAAATTTAGACTCTCATTTCAGGAACGTGACATCACATTCAAATGTCACGTCCCTTTCAGCATTGCATGTCTCACATTCGCTTGGATGTAAATCAGCCATAAATGAACTTAGTCACATTCAAACAAATGTGACACAATGCTCAAAGGAACGTGACGTTGCCACATCCGTTTCAACATGATGTTACGTTGCTGGAACGGGAGTGTACGAAGGGAACACGAAGTATCATGGAAGTATCAGTATACTCATGTGTACACATTTGACCGCACTCAGTGTTAAAGAAAGCCAAGCATTGTTGACAAATGTTAACGTTTCGAGTATTTTCAGGTGTACCCATCTGTACTCCGCGAGGGGGAAATCACACTTCAAACCTGGGACCCGACTATTACGTCTATTTCGACTCAAAATTACAGGGATTTAGCTGAAAACAGACCAAACAAAACCCAAAAATAGATCAAATTTGAAGAATCTTGGCTAATACGCTACTAATGCACACTATCACGAACAGAGTGACACTATCACGAACAGAGTGACCCGACTGTTACGCGAGTGCTTTCCCCCTCGGTTACTCCCATACTCACGTATACTCCAAGCAGAACGCGCGGTGATTCGCCGCTCGGCTTTCAACGTGACGTCACACTCCTGAAAGGAAAGTGTTACGACGTTTCGGGACATGATAGAGCACTCCCCGAGTGCACTTTGCCGAAGACCGCTGAAATTTTCCGATTTATGACCACAATACAGGCCAAGAGACAAGAGACGTTGCTTACACGACTGTGTCACTTACCGCAAGTGGATCGACCTGGCGGCAATAGCAGTGGAGTGGAGTGGTGGTGGCAAAACAGAGTCCGCTCCACTGTTCGGAACGAAAGGAAGTCAGCAACTCTGGTCGGAACCCTTAAGAAGGAGCGGATACGATGTGACGCAGCCAGACCGAAACTGTGAAAGAACAAGCTCTCTGAATTCCTTGCAACCTGTTTGTTACGTGACAACGAATAAAATGGAGGCATTGAAGTATTGGGTACTTGGGAGAAGAGGTGGACCGGAAAACAAGAGGATGCCAAGAAGAGCAAAGTATGTGAAATTTGTCTAAATAAGCCTGTGCGTCGCCGTTCTGCCGCGACCGATAAATTCATACAAGTCCGGCGTTTGTTCTTCTTGATTTCTTTTCCACTTCCGGTCCAGATCTTCTCTGAAGTACCCTAGCGCTTCGTACTTCGCGAAGAAATGCCTTTCTCAGTACACTCTAAGCACGTTACTGACTGAAGGAGCGGATATGATGTGACCGGACCGGAACTGTGAAAGAACAAGCTCTCTGAGCCTCTGTTTTCCATTTTAGCGGAAAGTGATAAGTCACAGAAATGCTCTGCGCACATTCGAGGTAAATTAAGGATCCCTGGGTATCACCGCTCTCATGAGCCAGATTAGTGGCTGGGCAACCAGCGCCACTCCCACCAGAGGCCTCCCTCCTACAATGCCCCCTCTGCACGAACAACAATTACACCTGCCACAGTGAACCCTCGTTGGTTGAGTTGTTTTGTCCCTTGACGTTTGTCCAAAGGCCATCCCCACCACGCTTGACTTCGGCCTGGCCCCGTCAGACAGTGCCTGGCTGGAGCTGACCCTCTCCAGGTGGGAATGGGATAACGGTGGCCTATAAGGTCCTTAAAGTCGTCGCCGAGAGAGGAACAGTAATAAAAGAAAGCCAGAGGCCCGTAGGAACGTACCTACTGGTTCCTGGCGTTCTCGATATTTCTGTTCTTTACTCGGCGACGACTAAAAGGGTCTACTCGCCGACCCGGCCCAATGTTGAATGATCTGTTCGGAACGTGTGACGTACCTAGCTAAAACTCAAGCATAGTCTTCTAAATTTATACTACTAAAAATCTGAACTGTCATATGACTTCAGATTCCAGCAATCAAGATAGCTCAAAACTTTCACGCAAGTTGTTTCTTAAAATATTTATTCAGGCGGGCCGGCGGATTAGGCCGAGTGAAGAACTGAAGTCATCAAAAAGCTAAGAATCAGTACGTGCGTTTCTATAAGTTCCTAGATTTTTGTTGTTCACTTAGCGACGACTGAAAGGGTCCTTTCACTTGACCGTGAGAGCACGCTCTTACTTTGGAGAAGAGCTGGAGCGAAAGCAGGGAAAAATATAGCAACAGAAAAAGTGTGAGTGAAAATGAGAGATTGCGTCGCCGTTCTGCCGCTTCCGCAGACCTACGTTCTCATACTACGTCCTTGATCTTTAGGATTTCTTCTCAACTTCCGTTCCCGCTTATCTCTGCTAGTACCCAGTACCCTCTTGACTGCAATATTTGGTGGGAAGCTCATTCCAAATCTTTTTCGTTACGTTATGGAGGTCTAGGCCAGCGTGAAGCCGCTTTAAATCTGAGGGTCGGGAGGGGTCAGGAACTGTCGAAACTGCGTCACCTTGGCTGTTGTACTCAGCAACTGACTTGATTGCATGAAAGGTTACTACCACTCCACGCAAAGTCTGGTAACTTCCTGTCCAGGATCTTCAAGAATGCCTTCGTGTTTGGTAAGAGTGAGTCGGCATATGCAAAGAACTGGGATCCCTCTAGATACTTTGATTTCGATATCTTTCCTGCGTTGGTGAAAGTTGTACGACGAGTGTGAGAGTCTATAAAATAAGTTGTCCTAGCTGTCAGGGTATTTTCACGAAACTTGTCTACGAGAACACGCTACTCACGGATCGACGACTGAGCAAGCGTTGATATTTCTACCACAGCGCTAAGTGACGGGGAGCTGAATGCGAATCTCTGGAAGCAGTTTCCACTTAGCCACATGTCTTCTGCAAGGTTTGACGGGTTATTGACAAACCTTCAATTTTGAATCCATTTCGAGAACTTAGGTGTACGGGCAAATGAGCGACTAACAGGGTCAACTTCCGGTCTTCGTTATTCCTCACTGGTGAGTTGACGAAGAAGGCCATTTCAAAGAAGACCTGAACCGGAAGGCTAGGCTAGTCGTCACCGATCGAAGAACAAGAACAAAACGGGAACAAGCGCCAGCAACATTACCTTGCAGGCTACTACAAGTGGACTAGTTTTTAAGTTTTCCTGGATGTACCTCCTCCAACAGGGTACTTTCGTAGAATCCTGAACCGGAAGCAAGCAGACCAGCAGACGCCAAATTGGCCGGAAACTAACCTCTCTTCGGATCCAAAACTATAGTCGAGCTGTACAAATATTGCTCGCGAAACACATATGCAAACAAGTATCAAACAACTGTTTATGTTCAAGTGTGGCCGATACGTTTGACGAACGTCTCTTTCCCAAGTCAAGTTTGGATCTACTTCCGCCAACATGGCGTCTGTGTGCTTCCGGTTCAGGGATCTACGAAAGTACCCTATAGCACTTCCGTCAGTTTTAAATACTTTTTGAAACAAGGAGTAAGAAAATTTCTCGACATTTCTCCTTGAAACCCTCGCTACCTCCTCCCTTTCTTCCAGGCTTCCGGTTTTGTTCTCGTTTTTGTCCTTCGATCGGTGACGACTCGAGTAGGGTATGTCGGAGGCGCTCTAGCTCGGAAGAAGAACAAAAACAGAAGTAAGAATTGACAGTTTGTATGAGAGGCTGCGAAAGAGCCCCAGACCTCACCCGCAGTGCATATTTCTCATACAAACTGCCGTTTCTTACTTCCGTTTTGGTTCTTCTTCCGGGTTAAAGCTTCTCCGAAATGCCCTATGCTCTATAAGTTTGAGTGTAAAGTATTGGTCTTATTCATCGAGCTCGTTTCTAAGCGCTGCGGTCACAATGTTGCACTCGCGCCTCGTAGACAACATCGATATTGATTTTGATTTGGACAACAGGGGAACAAGACTCCGGTACACCCTCCACTTAACGGAAGAACTGCTCCCTTGCTTAAAGCTGCTATAGATTTGAGTTGTAGCTATTCATGCAAATTGTTGTCGTAACGGCCTGGATTGGTTTCGTTTTGGGCATCTCCTTGTCCCCTCAACTGTTTAGCATCCTGCTATGCTTATTGAATGTCATCTTGAACCAGTTAACGGCTCAATCATAGGGAAAGCTTTGCCTTTGTCTACTCCTGTACCTGCAACTTTAATCTGACAAGTATTATCATCCTTAATAAGTGAAATATTATAGTATTAATAAGCCCGGACCAGGATGAGGAAAAATTAAGGAACTTTCAAAACCTTGGTCCAATTGTCTCTTGTAGCGAACCGAATCCAGAGACCTCTATCCTCTCAGTTTCACTGTTCATCCTCTTCTATCGCTTTTACAGATAAAAGTTTAATATTGAGCGTTACGCCAGGTCACATGTGGTGAGCATAAGGTTTTCTTCAAGTCTTAATATTGGCCGCAGTACTTACCTTATGTAGGGATTCTGAATAAGTCAGAAGAGGTTTGTTGGAACACTCTTTGTCCTAATTTAATGGTTCCGATCGGAAAGGAAGATAAATCGAGGCCTGAACGCAGGTTAAAGAGACATTGGACTGGAGCCGTCGTTTGTTCGACAGTCTTCAAACTTAACAAGCAATTTTTGTGTTAGGTTAGCTGTGAATCGCGCACATTGTAGAAGTCGTCGAGAACGTTTTGTATTTGTACTGCTACCGGAATAGGATAGGCTCGACCGATAGCTCATTTCTGACCCCTCATTCGCTTTGTCTCTTCGGTTTATCCTTGCTTCCGTACGTCTACAACTCGGTGAAAATCTTTTAGGTCATAGGGTATTTCGGAAGAAACTTAAGGAGAGAGAGATAATTTAGTCTATCCGGCCTTCGCGCACAGCGCGCAGTGGCCCGGGGCTGAGGAACTCAGACTGGAAGTCAGCGACAGAATGGGAGAAGCAACAGAGCGTCGCGCTGCCGTGCTAAGCAGTGGTGGGGGTGGATATGGGCAGAGTGGGGGGTGAAGGCGGAGCGCACACGTTAACCCCACTTCGCACGTTCCGGCCCCCACCACTGCCCAGCAACAGCGCGACGCTCTTTTGTTTCTCCCGATCTGTCGCTGACTTCCGGTCTAAAGATCCTCCAAAGCACTCTTGGGGAAGAGCTGGAACGGTAGGCAAGAAGAAAACAAGAACAATTGAAAGGGCGAAATTGGCGAAAGGAAGCGTCTGCGCTGTCGCTCTGCCGCTAACACAGTACCATGTTCCCATACATTCTTTTTTATTGCTTAACTCGTCCTTTTCTGACTGCTCTTGTCGTCGTCGTCTAGAAATTCAAAACCGGAAATAGAGGAGAGTAGGAGTGACGGGTGCAAGTCCCAGCCTGGCAGGAAGTGATTAGCATGTTAATTTTCGTGCCTGAAAGTATTTAGAACAGTCGTGAGTAAACTCCATGACTATCGGGCTCAAATTAGCCTACGTTGCTGGCGCTATTTCCGGTCTTGTTGTTCGTACCATTTCTTACTTGCCCTTGAGTTTGCTGCTGGAGTTGATTTGGGGCACCTTTACTTTGTGTTAAATGTTGTGTATAATTTTGCACGATACTTACCAGTTTCTGCTCCAATGACCTCCACACACATCCCAATTTTCGTGTTAAATCGTGTAAACATTGAAACGTCTAGTTAGTTCATCCTTCCCAGTAACTGTTAAGTCGGGTTCACGGTTCACACTTCTAATAAAGTATCTGTTTTGTAACCGCGAATAAATGATAGCTGCATAGAACTGCTTCCTATTAAGAAGTTAGCCGTATCATGTGGGATTCTGTCTCAATTCAAGGCATTTCTTGGTAGATTTTACATTGCTTTCGATTTCTTCGTGGATTTTGCAATGCCTTAGAAACGATGCTTTGTTGTGGTCCTTTTTCTTTTTAGCATATACTGTACAATGATGCCTTTCTTGCTCCGATTTGTTGCAGAATTGTCTAACATCCTAGCCACGTAATGTCCGACGCCAAGGACCCTGTTGAAAAGAAGTCAGTCGGCGATGACGCCGAGTGCCTGAGCTGTCCAGCGGCCGCGTCTGATTCGACCGACGCACTGAAGCCGGCTGACGTGGCGGACGTATCCGGGCTGAATGATGCAGTTAAAAGTAAGTACCACACTCTCATTCCAGGAACGTGACATCCACGTTCCAACGAATGTGTAAAAATGTCACGTCCGTTTGAACGTTATGTCACGTTTCTAGAATGATAGTGAAGACGAGTTTTTCTTCTCGTTGCGAAACGACAGCTTGCACGAGTCTTGTAACCCAAAACTTTCATGTGTATTATTGGAAGACACGTTGCAGTCGCATTTCAAATCTAAAATTCACCAGTGGTGCAAAGCTGTCTAATTTGTCCGAGGGACCTTTTTCTTGAACTTTCATTCCAGTAATGTGACATCACGTCGGAGCGAATGCGAAGGAAGGCACGTTCCTTTGAGCATTGTGTCATGTTTGTTCTAATGTGAATAAGCTAATATATGGCCGATACACATCAGAACTTATGTGACACAATGCTCGCTCAAAGGAACGTGAAATTTTGTCGCATTCGTTTTAACGTGATTCACGTTCGTATTTGGAAGAAATTATTCGTATTGCAGGGGATTCCGCTTCGTAATTCAAAGCGAATCTTCGTAGAATTGTCGATGCCTTCGTATTCTTCGTACTGAGGCGATGCGTCATAGACTTGTGCACTGTGACAATTTAAGTCGTCACTTGACAATTTCAAGGCTAATTTTCCTTACAAGTATGTCATCCAAACAATTGACGACATTATTGTCTCGCCCATTCAAAAAGTATAGGGACTTTGACGAAAATGTCATCAATTTGTGATAAGATTTTCATCATTTGAAAGTGATGAAAGTATCAGCCACGATTTTGATTTTGTCATAAAGTGACAACAAATTCCAACAGTGTGTCTGTGCTGAAATCGTTCGCGGTTCAAACAAACCTTGGTGTGTCTAGCAGACGCCACTATAGCAGTACCCGGCGAAGGAGGAGACGCCGTGGCGGGAGAAGTCCCAGTCGTGCCCGGACCGGACGCCGCGGGTGACGACGCCGAGAGTGAGGGAGACGGCTCGGGAGAGTGCGCCGAGGACGATGCAGAGGACGAAGATGAGGACGACGAAGACGAGGAGGAAGTCGAGGAGGAAGAAGACGGAGATCTCTACGATCGCGAGTCCTCTTCCAGCGGCGCCGGCAGTGAGGACGACCTGGAAGAGCTCCTGAGCCGGGAAGCGGCGGCTGCAGCTGCGAGGGCAGCTCCCACCCAAGTATGTAGCGACCTTGTTTCCCTCACTCTAAATATTCCTTTCTACATTTGTTGTACTTCGTGTCACACGATTTTGTGCATCAGTGATTTCCGTTTAAATTTTTGCGCAGTTTTGCACGAATTTTCGTTGTAATTATTCCAGCGATGATTGTGGAAGTGCACGGTAACAACGGTTCCTGGTTTTCTTAGGAAACTCTCTGAAATCACCTATGCCTTCACCACTGGCTTCCTGGGAAAACCAGGTTCTGTTTTTACCGTGTGATTCATTCCTCAAATTTCACTGCGAGACAGTCAGAACACAGTTATTCAACGAATGTGACATCACATTCGTTTTGAGCGTGAATCAACATTCAAACGAATGTGACACCATGTTCAAACAAATGTGACAAAATTCACATTCTGGCGTATGTGACGTCACATTCGTTGAATAACAGTCAGAACGCGCACTGAAACAGTTGGTCGGAGCAGAGTGTGACACTGCTTTCTGACTGCCCGTCCTGCAGGACGTCGAGGTGTGCGCCGTGTGCTTCAAGAAGGCGAGCGTGCGGTGCGAGCGCTGCCAGGGCGAGTCCTACTGCGGGGAGCCCCACCGCAAGAAGGACCAGCCCAGGCACGACAAGTGGTGCTTCCCCCGCACCGAGCCGGCCGAGGACAACCCCATCGTGCCGCAGGTAAGGCCGAGGGGCCGCCGACACACACACTTAAAACTCCACAAAGAACTGCTCTTTGTAATCCAAAGAAAACTGTGGCTTCGCAGCCTGCGAAGGAAATTGTTTCTAATACGAACGATTTTCTTTGTAATATCAAGGAAAAATTCTTCGTATCCTACGAAGAACTTCTTCGCAGCCTGCGAAGGATTTTACCTTTGTATTTCAGAGAAAATCGTTCGTATTACAAACGATTTTCTTCGCAGGCTGCAAAGCCACCGTTTCCTTTGTATTACAAAGAGCAGTTCTTTGTAGGAATTTATCTGTGCACCAAGTGTTTGCATGAACACTTATACTCCATAAGTACACTCATCCTAGGAACGTGACATTACGTTGAAACGAACGCGACAAAATGTCACGTTCGTTTGAGCATTGTGACACATTCGTTCGGACGTGAATCCGCCTAAAATTAGCTTGTTCACACAATGCTCAAACGAACGTGACATTTTGTCACGTTCGTTTCAACGTGATGTCACGTTCGTTTCAACGTGATGTCACGTTCCTGGGATGAAAGTGTATAGTCTTACTTGTGCCAGCGTAAGATGTGCAAATTTTATTTAGATTAATTTGGGACACTATTTCTATACTGCGGTAAATTATTTTTAAAATAGAATCCAATCAGTGCCGAGGGGCAAACAACTTCGTCAAAATTTAAACACCGTTATTTCAATTTCACGTTATTTCAAGGGTATTTCAACGTTATTTCGCATCACTTCATCGTTATTTCTACGTTCTTTCACCGTTATTTCAAGGAAAATGTACACCAAAATTCAAGTTGTTTGCCCCTTGATCAGTACTGTGCAGCGCAGCGATTCTCTGTTGGAAATTGAGGTGCTGGTGCAACTTTTCCAGTGTGACTGCGTGTTGCAGGACGCGCCCATCCTGGCGCTGAGCGTGGAGGTGCTGCTGCGCATCTGCCGCCGCCTGCCCGCCATGGACCTGGTGCGGCTGGGCCAGACGTGCCGCGCGCTGCGGGCAGTGTGCCGCGACCCGCACGCCTGGAGTCACGTGACCTGGAAGGGCGGCCGGTCCTCGTACTACGGATACGGAGGGCACGCGAGGGGCGCCGGCGTCCTGAAGGTGGCGCCCGCCCTGCGCGCCATCCACGTGGGCGAGGACGAGCTGAACTCGCCCAAGGTGAACCTGCTGCGCTGCACCCGCCTCGTGAAGGAGTTCCACCTCGAGTGGAACGAGTACGAGCAGGAGGGCTACGACGTGGACCGCGTCATCGCGCTGCTGCGCCACTACCGCGGCAACCTGGACGTGAGTACTGCACTGTTAAACAAGCTAGGGCCCGCCCTTTCCGTCGAACCGAGTTGCCAGCTCCGCTTCGCTGCGCCGGCAACTCGGTTCGACAGGGGGCCGGCCCAGCTTGGCCTGCCGGCGGCCTTTGCTCGAGCCTTCGGCCCTCGCATCAGACCCAACTTGGCCAGTCGAAGGCCCGGGCCTTCGGCCCGCTCGCATCACACACACCGTGAGCGGGTAAAGCAAAGTTATCGATGTACCATCGTGACTTAGGCCCGCCTTTCTATTCACGATATGTAAAAGTCCTTACACTTTTTTTACTCCAACTTTCCTTAGAATATGCCCATTTCATTTGTCTCTTAGCCCTCATTCCGAAAATACCCATATTTGCCATGCTACTGCAACTCCTTGCAATAGAGGCACAGCAGGAGCGCAAAACGAGTCCGTCGCACTTTTTCCCATAACTCATGAAGGCGGGCTCCTGGACCCCCCTTCCGACCCCTCGTTGAAGAGGTCTTGCCAAGACCTATCGAAAACTTAAGTAAAAATTTTCAGTCGGTCGACCCCCTTTTTTCAAGATCCTGATGTGACTAAAAGACGAAGTCGGGCTCCTGGACCCCCTTTCCGACCCCTCGTTGAAAAGGTCTTGCTGAGACCAATCGAAATCTGCAATAAATTTTTTTAGTCGGTCGACCCCCTTTTTTGAAGATCCTGATCTGGCCAACTTGTAAAAGCAGCCGATGGGGTCTGGACCAGGTCCATTCATCTTGTCTCGTCGCCCCGATTCCAAAAATACCCCTATGTGCCCTGCTAGCACCAATAATGGCGGAAATCCCCCTCCCACTCATGTAAACCATGATGCACCTGCAGCAGCCCTTGTGCGACCCGGACGGGATTTGCACCACCGGATTATTTGTTTGGACGGTACTCCTTAAGTACCCTCCAAATCTGGTTACTCTAGCTCAACTCCTTCCTTGTACACAGACGCCAACAACAACGACAACAACACACAGACACAAAGGCAAATGCATAGGCCCCCCCCCCTATTTTTTGAATAGAAGGCTGGGTCAAAAATGATTGTACAGAAACAATCAGATGAGTGAAAATTTAGTCCTTCCAAAACATAGAATTTCATCATGAACCAAAGCGAAACAAATGTCGTTTAGTCTAGTAAACGACATTTTGTCATTGAAGAACAAATTTCTTGTTATCACTCTTTACGATACAATTTGTGTGGAAACAACATCTTTTGCAATTATCCGCTCAATTAAAGCATATCATGAATAATCATCTATTTTGTTTTTCTAAGTCATAGGGCAATCACTATTGTTAAAAAAAACCATGCAAAATAAATTCAGCGACAAAAGTACTCTATGAATATTGTCGCAGACATTAAATAAAAAATTTCTTTTTGACTTACAATACTTGTCATTGATGTGTTATTGTTGGTGCGTTATTGCAAGTTGGTCGTTGTGAAATTATCCCTTAGTTCCAATACGACTACGGTTTAACAAGCTATTCGTTCCACAACAAATCTTGTCGCCAAAAAAAGTTACCGATAAATGTGTCGCTAAGTTACGACAAAATTCTTATCAGTGTGGTTCACACCCAAGACCTCACTGAAAAACCAAACGTGGTCTAGACCACACCGCTGGTGCGGTCTAATGGGTGTCATTTTGACCGCATCAGGTGGTGTGGTCTTCACCACGTTTGGGCACATTTGGTGTGGTCTAGACCACGTTTGGTGTGGTCTTTCGTACCAAACGTGGTCCAGACCACACCAACTGATGCGGTCAAAATGGCACCCATTTGACCGACCGCATCAGTTGGTGTGTTCTAGATCACGTTTGGTTTTTCAGTGCTCTCGCAGGATGTTGAGCATACGTTAGAAACAAGGTCAAATCAAGGTTTTGCTCCACCGACACTTTCCCAAAACCCGGCCATTAACGACTCTTTTTGTATTTACTCCACTATGTAATGAGAGGTGGGTGGGTGATGCTAGTTTGGCCGGCGCCTGCGTTGCAGCATTTTGAATACACCTCTCGCATTATCAGTTTTAACTTTGCCAGTCGTTGTTTTCTTCTACTTTCTTTTCTTTGCATTTTGCTCTTATTCGTAATGCTCTGTTCCTTCCTCCACACTGGTTTGACAGGTCGTGAAGCTAGGATGCCTCGACAGGATGACAAGGGAGGGCCGGAAGGACGAGGTGCGACTACTGAAGTTCATCGACACTCTTGACATCAAGGAGCTGTACGTCAAGAGGAAGCTCGCCAAGTGTTACCCCAGGAGCTCGAAGGTGATCACGGAACTAGAGATGGGTTTCGAAGTGAGCGGTGATGTGCTTGCCGACTTCGTCGTCAGCTGCCGTGAGACCCTCACCAACTTCGAGGTGAGTCACAGCTTTGCAAAACTCTGCATATGCCCTGCGAACCTTACACGTTGTTTCACTCTAAATAATCTGAGATTGTCTCACACTTGGACTCTCAGTTCACTGCACTGAAAACCAAACATGGCCCAGACCACACCAATGGGTGCCATTTTGGCCGCATCAATCGGTGTGGTCAAAGTGGTTCTATTTGACCACACCAGTGGTGGGATCTGGGCCACGTTTGGTTTTTCTGTATTCTGGAGTGCTAGTGACGGTTTGCACGCGCCTTTGTTCCAGATCGACCTCTACTACTACAGGAAGAACCCGTGGGTGCACGTTCGCAGCTCGCCCGTGCGGCGTGCCCTGGTGCAGTGCCACAAGCTGGAGAGCGCCGCGGTGCCCATCTGGGACGGCAGCCTGTCCATGCTGCACGCCTGGCCCGAGCTGCGCACGCTCACACTGTACGACTTCGGTGACGTGAAGCACGGCGCCGCCCGGGAGTCGCTCATGACCGCCCCCGTGGCCAAGAAGCTCGAGTCCCTGACGCTGTACATGGGGTACTTCGGCCACCGCGGGCTGCTGCAGACCGTGGCGGAGGCCTGCAGCGGGCTGAAAACGTAAGGGGAGGCAACTCTCAGTGGACCAGATGACCGGTGGAAACAGCCAAAATCTCAGACGCGTTTATTAAGCTCCACACTGTAGAAAAAATCCATGGGAAAAGGTACAGGATCAGTCTGGTAGACAATTTGTCTGGGTACTACCGTACCTCAGCCAGTACGGATTTTTGGGTACGGAGTACGGGTTTTCATAACATGAGCTCTTATGGGAAGCACGGTTTTGGGGTACAGTTGTTCTGTGCACCGTGAGGTACGGTCTAGCCGTACCCTTTTCCTTGAAATGTAGGCTCTTTTAACAGTGCAGGGTCACCAATTTAGAGTGTGACCCCACCGATGGATTCCTCGTTCGGAGAGCAAACCATTGGTGCGGTCACATCTTTGGTTCAAGTCCCATTGAGCGACTCAGGAGCTCGAAATGCGCATAGAATTATGGCTGCCCGCATCGGTCTTCTGGCCCTTTGTGAACCTGCAATGAAATTGCGGTCAAAATTCATGAAATTCAGTCGAAATGCAAAGAAATTCTGTAACACACTCTAAATGTCTTACGAAGAAATTTCCCATATTACGAAGGAAATGGCGCAAGCATAATACGAAGGTGGTTTTTCTTCGTATTACGAAGGTTTTTCTTTGTATCCTACAATGAAAAAGCTAAAAAGATTCGTATTACGAAGAAATATTGCTTCGTATTATGCTTGCGCCGAATTCACTGTAACATACGAATAAAATAGGTCAAATTTCATTGTAAGACATTTAGAGTGCACTTGGTGGAGTTCGTACCGAAATTCATTGAGATTCCAAAATCTGTACACTGAATTTCGTTTCCTTGTGTGTGAAGTCTGGAACTGAGGTTCGGCATGGTGGACAGCCGCTTCCCGGAGGAGAACCCCATCGACGTCCCGCGCGACCTCCACCTGGTGCTGGGACGCCTCACGGACCTGGAGATGCTGACGCTGTTCGCGGCCAGGGTGCCCAGCTCCGTGTTGAAGGGCATCGCCGAGGGCGCGCTGCCCAACCTGGGCTCCCTCAGCCTGGAGGAGTGTGCGGTGAGTACACTGCAAATGAAATTGCCTTCCAAGTACTGTACACTCTTTAAAATGCATGCACTCTAATAAAAATGCAGGATTTCGTGCATGCAATAATACAAAATTCTGTAACGCGTCAGTCGGATACCTAAATCTCTACTTACGATTCAAAATTCTGTATGTTAGAAAGTACCTTCTTACACGCGCAACTCCACACGTGCATGTAATCCGATGTACTCAGCATGGAGTTACGGGTCGAAGTGAGCTAGTGTAAGTTCGTACTTGGCCAAGTATGCAGTTGCAAGTGGGTACCACTTACAAATAAGCATTTGTAAATGTGTACGAGGTAGGCAGTTCGGTTTGTAGTGTTCTGTGAACTAATCGGTCGAGTGGAGTGGATGGTGTGGGTGGCATGATGCAAAGGAATGAGTCCAGAGTCGCTGATTAGAAGATTAGTACGATTGGCACGAGATTCAGCATACCTTTCGGTATACATACGTAATTTGTGCGTAGGTTGCACGAAAATTTGATACAATGTTGTCTATGTACATTTCAGAGCTTTCATTGTGTATGCTCGATTTTCTACTCAAGCTACTCAAAATGGTATACTCTGTGCACCATAACGCTTCCATATCAGTGGTGTTGCGCAATATGTACTGGTTTCTGCATTTCTCTTTTCGCAGTATTGCACAATATATATTCCTGTGTTTCATTCTTCTACACTTTGCTACGCACTACCCCACATTACACTCGCTGTTGTCCAGAGTACCTTACTTACAGTGGTGAAAAAAAGACATTAAAATTGTGCCCTTAAAGCGTAAACGAATGCCTTTGAAAAGGCATCAAAATTTCGCCTCAATCTCAAAGCCCCATACCATATTCACGCCCTTTCCAAGGGCATTAAACGATTTATGCCCTTCGCGCGCGTTAAAGAACATTTATGCCCTAAAGGGCTTTGTTTTTTTGCCTTTGATTGACCACAGTAATTTGTGCACTGATTTTCTAAGTGTGATAATGAATTAATGTGATAATGAATTAATTTAAAAAGCAAGAACATTTTTATTGCACAAGTAGTGCCATCAAAATGTTATTGCATTAAAAGTGCAATAATTATTGCATTGCGTCAGCGCATTTATCGCTTTATCAGCGTAGTAATCATTGTATCTCACCTAAACTGTGATAAACAGGGCCCAGACCGGCCAAAATCTAACAAACCGATGATTGTGAAGGAATCACATCAGCCTTTTTATCGCAGCTAATTGTGTGAAACTTATCACATTAGAGATACCAGTGTATCTAAACCTGTACGCAATGGGCACTCGTTTTGTACTGTCACTTGCGAGAGAATCCCACCACCGCGTCCGGGCCCAGCGCTACCCCGCGCCCAGACGGCTACCCGCCGTCTCCAGCAGCCACCTAGGCGCGGGGTTTCGGCAAGCCCTGCCGCCGGGTTGGTCGGATTCTCTTCTCGCTAGTGGTTGCACTATAGAATTCTCACGAAATTTTCCAATTTTGCCCGCAGCTGACGCCCAAGGGGCGCGAGGCCGTGGCCCTGGTGCACAGCAAGCGCCCCGACCTGTGCTTCTGGGCGTCGGACGAGGACGTGGCGGACGCCAAGCCGAAGTCGGCCTTCGACTTGTTCTTCCTCCCCTCGCGCTGCGGCCACAGCTCCTGCGCCGCCCCTTCCGACTGCGAGGAGTACGACTTCCCCGGAGACCCCGCCGCCGTCGTCGCCGAATTCGCCAACATGCTCGGTGCACTGCAATAATTTTTTTGTTTTCGGGATTCCAAGGCTGTACGTTTCCGGGACACAGACTGGTGTGAGATGTGCAGTGCAGTGGAAAATTGAATTTTCCAGTCATTTGTCTCCGAAATTATTTGTTTTTAGATACGCAGTGTTTTTTATTTGGGAAACTATCATTGTGCAATAATTTTGACTAAATAATTTCTAAGATGGTTTCTGTTTTCCTGAGTGTTTTTCCTTTAGGAATACAAGCATTGTGCTATATCTTTCCTTTTGAGTTTTTTAATCTATTTACATTTTTTTTTTGTCATCTGGGAATTGGAATTATTGTGGAGTAATTTGTCTTGAAATTGTATGTTATGAGATATTTTAGGAAAATGAGATTTGGTACCCGCATAGGCACTGTAAAGTTTGTTTGTAATGACGCGAGCTGCGGTTTCAAAAGCAGTCTCCGGATTATTTCGTTTTATGCTCTTAATAAAGGGGTAAATCTTTCAAAGTACGCGGAGTATACGTTATTATTTTTCCCACAGTTTGTCGCTTAGTTGCTGATGTTCATTAAATCAAACAATATCCCATCACACTTTTCTTCACCACGCATATAATGCAAATTCCCCGCATGCACAAAATCGTGCAAGTGGCACGTACAAAATTCTACATTAACATTTACTGTGTATTTAGTATGAATACATCGCGTCTTTGGCGTGTGTCCACACATTTAACGCATTCATTTGCGAGGAGTTCCACCTTGTTGTAGGTGTAAATGGCACTTGTAATCTGTCGAGTTTCCGGACCACGCTCGAAAAGTTATCTCCTCTTCCACGCCAGAGCCAGAGCGTCTCCCGGCTGACCCCACCACACTGCTTCGCCTGACGCTGACGCCAGAGTCCCCCCCTTCCCCACAGCTGGCCGGCGTCCCGGCACGGCCACGGCACGGCACCCGGCGGCACGCACGGCAGGCGCGGCGCAGGCAGTCAGGCCCTAGCGGCCGAGCGAGCTAGGCCGTGCCGTTGCCGTGCGGCGGATCAGTGAGGCCGCTCTAGCGACGAGAAGCACGCTGGCCGAGACGGAAAGAGAACAATTCTCACAGCAACACGCCCCAGGTGAGCTGCGGCCTCACTGTGTTCACTGGAAGCAGTGACCCGTCCCACAGGCATTTTCATGTCTTGCTCGCGTGTACCCATGAAGGTTGGGGGCGGGGGTGGAGGCTCGATCGATCGATCGAGGCCGGACGGACGGACACAGCTGAGCTAACCCCGTATGGTGTAGTCCCTAGGATAGCTTCCAATGAAGTAAGGGTGCCAACCTACACTGTTGGAGAGCTTTTTAAAAATGCAGTGAAGACCGCGCACCTCTGGGCTTTCGGCGTGGCCTGTGCGGAGCGGCAGTGCTGCCGCAGCGACTTCCAAGGCCACGGCCATCCCCACTCCGACCGCGCCGGCAGCGCGCGCCTGCTGTCATGTTCCCTCTCGACATCTGGGGCGCCGGCTCGCCACTCGCCCAAAGTGGGTGACATCGGAACAGAAAAGAGAAGCGTGACACCCCTATCTGTTCACTTGGATGTGAACCGAGTGGACACGTAGGCCCTTGAGTGCGTACTGAGCGCACATTCCTTTAGTACAAATGTGTACCGGGTACACACTTGTCCGTTCAGTGCACTCGTTTGGACGCTTGATACGTTAATTCAACGACGGCTCGCAGCACTGAAAATCTATCGGGTGACTTCGTGCCGCTGCACGCCGCTGCAGGGGCGTGAATAAAGTGTCACGCCAAAAAAGGGCACGACAGAAAAGCCACGCCACAAATCAGCGTGACTCAAAAATTCACGCCAATTTTCGGTGTGAATTTCTTGTCATGCCGCTTTTTGGCATGAATTTTCTCATAAAACCCGTTGTCATTCACGCCAAATGAGGGCGTAACTCCCAAGTCATGCCGTTTACCGGCGTAAATTTCGTGTCACGCCAATTTTTGGCGTGACTTTTTGTCACGCCATAATTTGGCCATGTGTCCGACCATTACGTTTTCAGTGAGAACAGAGGTGTCCGAATGTAGACCAAATAATTAGAAGCCGACCCCCGATTTATCAAACTAACCCAGATTCGTTTTATTTTTGAACGGTTCAGATTTTTTTAAAATTACGAAAGATAGTACTGTATTCGGTGCAAAACGTGGTTTGTGCACAATGGTTGGTTACGGAACCATCAATTTAACAGAAAAACTGACTAGTGTCATCATCCTAGGTTTCACCACTCATAGTGCCTTCTAAGCGAGATGGTACGTGCTTGAAATCTTACGGAGTACTTTAAGCATTTGTTACGTATGTAGTTTCGAAGATAAAGTTCGCAAATTACGAAGCATACGCTGACTAGCATGGGACTTCTTTAGACCTACGAATCATGCAATTCTAAGCACATCTGTCGCTGATGCAATTTTGTGTCCACCAGGTGACACAAAGTGTCCGATAAAATAGCAAATTGCAATAGGCATTCGTATCACATAGCGCACACAACAATGTATCACCAACGGATGTGCTTAAAATTGCATCATTCATGGGACAAAAAAAAGTCCCATGACATAATGTCGAGGGGCCGCCCTATTCAAAAAAACTTATCTGCTCGTTCCCGCATAAAGAATCTTGTCTGAAAGTAACTTTGCCCAAGTTTGTTCATTTGGGACGGGTAAGAGCGGAACGTAACTTTACAAGCACCGCTGGTTTCTTCGATCTTTCATCCGAGTTGGTGTGAATAAAATTACGAGTTATTTTGTTATTTTGATTTGTAGCTGTCTCAAATGCTTGAACTTAGCGAAATTCGCTGACTTTGAGGATAAGATTGTTTATACGAAAACGACCAGATAAGATATTTTGAATAGGGCCCGTCGAGTCGATGTGTGCTTTCTGTGTAAGCTCAATTCTCAATATCAACGTTTGAATAGGGTTTCAATTTTATAAATGGTTCAAAAACCAGAACAACAAAAATCGTAGTGCTGGCCCCTCCTTTGTCTGCGATACCGCGATATCACAGTGCCGAGACGTCATTTATCGCGTGATCGGGTACCTTCCGATTCTTTCCGTAATCCAATCGAATACCATTATCTAAGTAATGGAACTTTGTCGTCCCATAAATGATGCAATTTTAAGCAAATCTAACGGTGGTACGGTGGTACAATTTTAAGTCCGCCAGGCGGGACAAATTGTCTAATGAGAACAATTTGCCGTAGTTGTTGAACACAATGTGCCGCCGTCCGATGTGTATGAAATTGCATCATCCATGGCACAAAAAAGGCCCATGACATTTGTTGCGTACCTTAAGTTTACGGAGTGGCTAATTAACAACGTTTTCTTTGTGCTTCACTGTTGCTTCAAGTACAATTTCTGAATTCCACTATCGTGACTTCATCATTGAACTATACGTACACCCACGGTGACGCCAGTTGAAAAAATTTCTTATACATCTGGGGTTTGATATCCATTTCAAGATCTTATTAACTTGGGGCTCGAAATTCTGTAATTGTTATGAGTCACCACACTGATGTGTGAGAGTTTTCGATTTGATTCCAAAGCATTGGCACAACGCTAGGTTATCAAACCCCAACTGTAAGCAATTTGTTGTGCCAATGCTTTCGAATCAAATCGAACACTCTCACATCAGTAACGTGACATCACGTTGAAACGAGTGTGACAAAATGTCACTTTCCTGTGAGCATTGTGTCACATTCGTTTGGATGTGTATCGGCCAAAAATATACCCATTCTCATTTAAACGAGTGTGACGCAATGCTCAAAGGAGCGTGACGTCTTGTCACGTTCGTTTCAACGTGATGGCACGTTCCTGGAATGAAAGTGCAGCAAAAACAGTGCTCATTTTACCCTTTTCTACACATAAATACAATTGATGCGTAGGCGAATCGAATGTGCCCTGGTTCGATTCAGAGAAATTTTCCAACTTTCGATTGGAACTTTTAAAAGGCCGATTCACACACCTTCACCTTCGCCACGGCCTACCCATTCTCACTAGTGTAAGGGTTCGATAATGAGCCAAAAGTCAGCCGTCACGATCGATCAAAGATCTTGTGCTCTCCTTGAAGCGTTCTGTGACAGTAGACCAGTGCATTTAAGATTGCTTGAGGCACACTTGAAGTACGCTTGAAGAAAGGTCAAATGTAACGATCTCGATTTATCCGTGAACTCAAGCGCTTCTCTCACGCCCTTTAAGACCACCCCGCCCACTGGCCGTGTCAGTCTCAATGCGACGAGCCATGCGGAACTTGGACCTTCCAAACCAACCGGGTAGAAGGATCTGTAGCAGAGTCCCTCGCTAGGGACTTCCAAGCCCCGCCATCGTGCAGAATTCAAAAGTTCTCTTTCTTCCTTTTATGTTTTTATGAGGTTTTAGAAGATTTAATCAAATTATCCTAGCCAAATCGCGTTGAATCGAGTTATTTGGATTATATGTGCCTCTACACTAGCGGCGTCGTCGAGGGGTGAATCACTAGTGTACTCATGTGTACAAATTTGCCCGTACTCAGTGTACTCACAAGTTTTAAAAAGGTGAAATTCTCTAGTTTTTTGACTGATTTAACGTCGACTGCCGTTAAAAACGCTAAATAAAGCCTTAAAACGTTTCAAATTGTGAAATTTATGAGTAAAGCAAGGTGTACTCACCCGTACTCATGTACTCATGTGTACACCAGAACGCCGAGTGATTCACCCCTCGGGCGTCGTAGCTAGTCGTCCATCAGGCATCAACATCATTTCCTTCAGTTTCCTTACAATGCGTCGAAAGATGTCATTTAGCATTTAACAATGAACTGATGGGTTTCCAGGAACATTCCAGAGCAGGGAGAGGCCGGAATCTAATTTTGACTAGAATACTTCAATAGCGATACTTACATTTGCCTTCTTACAGGTGGACACGTCAATAATGTTTAGGATATCGCTATCTGCTCGTCCAGTTCTCGGAATTCAAAAGGTGAGCCCATATTTACACTGAATTTCATTCCACACTATCCTGCAGCCGGGCTGGGGTACTTCACCTAGGGTTTTCACTTTTTTTTTTTTTTAAATTTTCGGGATTCTGCTAGGTTACTCCTAGATTGTGCCACGCTTTTTATAGATTATGTACATGAGCTAGATTGGGTGCCTGATTCAATTTCGTTGGTTACGTCGGATCCCCGAAACATCGGTGTCCCCCATGGAAGCAAGCAGTAGCAGTTACTTCTGTCGTTGTGGTTGTGTTTGGACTGAGGATTACATTCACCGAGTGTCCAGATTTATAAATGACAACTTTGGAGATTGTGATTGTTAGGAATAACTGTCGAAAATTTGGCAAGATACGCGTCCTCGTCTTCAGAGGGGTACTGGTCACCTCTAACGTCAAATCCGTTACTCCAGTACTTTTCCTATTCTTTCCTAACACACTTGCAGGCTGGTTACTTCCTTTAAAGGTTTGGCGTTGATTGATTAGACAGTGAGTTCTTTGGATGGTTATCCATATTTTAAGGAAAATTGGTGGTAGAGAACCCGCGAGTTTCAATTGGTGACAAGCTTGAGATTCCGGACGTTCCTTATTATTATATCATTGGCTACGGGTCTACAACTTCGCGGACGTTACTTTCAAAGTACCATTTACTGTATTTGGGCTGTTGCAGAATCCCCTTCGCTTTCGGTCCACTGGAAGTAGCCGGATCCAGAATGATGCGACAGGTTCAACTGCCGAACCTGATTGGGAAAGTGCAATACCTTACGCCAAAATTCCAGGGCCAGAGCCTCTTCCAGTCATCGGGAATCTGTTCCGTTTCATGCCCGGTGGTTAGTATCACACAGCATCTGCATCGACATTACCGACCACAAGCTCAACATCCTCTTGATTGTTTGTTCTTTTGTTTTCATTCTCAAGGTGAATTCTTCAACAAAGATAGCTCTGGTCTCTTTAAAACCTTGTACAAGACGTATGGACCAGTGGTAAAATTGACTGGCATTCTAGGTAAACCAGATTTCGTCGCAGTATTTGACGCTGACGCAGTGGCTCAGGTATGTGTTCATGACCTCAGGTGGATATTTTTTACACTTAACGTTGCCTCACTCTTTAGTAGCAGTGATGGCATCAAGGACAGGTCAGAGTACGCGGAGAGTGCATGTGAAGAAACGTCGACACACGTATCCTAAACACGATGCCTGTGGCGATTTAACTGCTGTTCCGACAAAATTCACAAAACTCCAAATTGAAACACAACACTGAGAATGCAAACGCCATGAATGTAGCACACCCACTCCAAATTGAAAGGCGGTACAAATGTATCAAAAAAGGCGGTATTGAAATTACCGCCTTATACATGCCATCATTACCACCAATCAAAGGCGGTACTTTCATTTACCGCCACAACTATTCCATCAGTTATTAAAACATTGAATCAGTACCGCCAGTCAGAGGGAGTACCTAAATTACCGCCAAACACAAGCCATAAATACCGCTCATCAAAAGGCAGTTGTTTGATTTACCGCCTGCACTGTACCATTGTGGTCAGATTTAAATGTCTCGCTGAATCCAAAATTGTTAATTTATCCTAGGTAATGTGTGGATTCATGGCAGATTGGATAAATTACTAGATTATGATTGGACACAAAATCAATAGAAAACTTTTCTAATTACGGGTGTAGGTTGTCAGGCCCACAGGGGACTCTTAGGAGAAACGACAGTTGTGACGCTCATAAACTAAGAGGTCCATACCATACTTGCAGCATAGCCGCTGTCATTCAGTTTTCTTGAGGTCAGATGTACTCACATGAATCATGATTGAGTGCATAGCAGTGAAACTGCTGCTCAGAAGATAAATATGGCAAACAGGTTGAGTCACCCAAAACAGACAGCATCAAATCTTGAAGCTTTCAGCACTGGTAAACTGGGCTTGGTAGAGCACAGATGTGTTAAACTTATGAAGTTTTGACGGTTTTCTCATTTTACACGCACTTTCACTGTAGCTTGGATGATAGCAAACAATCTTCGCCCACGCACGACACAGTTGGCAAAAGGTCGCCATCTCACAAAACCAGAGGAAACTTGATTATATTACCGGGCTAAAGTTGGCCAGGAAAATTTCCTGGCCAGGAAAATTTTGCCTTTTTTTTGGGTGCTATAAAAATGCGTCCCATGACTTCAGGAACAACATATCAAGAGATGGCGGAAGCAAATTTCCAAAATTTTACATGACTCTGGACTTAGAAAATTTTTGCGGCCAGGAAAATTTCTTTCTTTGGGAGTCATATAGAAATGCCTCTCATGACGTCAGGAACAACATGTCAAAAGATGGCGGAAGCAAATTTTGAAAATTTTATATGACTCTGGACTTAGAAATTTTTTGCGGCAAGGAAAATTTCTTTCTCTGGCAGTCATATAAAAATGCCTCTCATGACGTCAGGAACAACATATCAAAAGATGGCAGAAGCAAATTTTAAAAATTTAATATGACTTTGGACTTAGAAATTTTTTGCGGCCAGGAAAATTTTACTCTTTGGCAGTCAAAAAGAAAGAAAATGGGGGTTCAAACGTGTTCATCAGCGGCCCCAGTGACTCTTTGAAAACATCCCACAGTTAAAACAAGTACCGATTTTCTTCTGGTAACCTCTGAAAATGGACTTAGCCGCAAAAGCCGATGAATCTATGAGCTGAGGGACGGTTTTCAAAGTGTCTTAGACGGCTTCGGGTACTTGTATAAATTAAAATGGGCATTCAAACTTGTTCATCTGCGGCCCTAGTAACCTTTTGGAAACATCTCACAATTTATACAAGTACCGATTTTCTTCTGGTGGCTTCTGAAAATGGACTTATACGCAAATGCAACCGACTCCGTGGTCCAAGTGACCGTTTTCAAAGCGTCTTGCACGGCTTCGGGTACTTGTATAAATTACAATGGGCATTCAAATGCGTTCAACTGCGGCCCTAGTAACTTTTTAAAAACGTCTCACAATTTATACAAGTACCGATTTTCTTTTGGTGGCCTCTGAAAATGGACTTAGCCGCAAATGCAACCGACTCCGTGGTCCAAGTGACCGTTTTCAAAGCGTCTTGGACGGCTTCGGGTACTTGTATAAATTACAATGGGCATTCAAATGCGTTCAACTGCGGCCCTAGTAACTTTTTAAAAACGTCTCACAATTTATACAAGTACCGATTTTCTTTTGGTGGCCTCTGAAAATGGACTTAGCCGCAAATGCAACCGACTCCGTGGTCCAAGTGACCGTTTTCAAAGCGTCTTGGACGGCTTCGGGTACTTGTATAAATTACAATGGGCATTCAAATGCGTTCAACTGCGGCCCTAGTAACTTTTTGAAAACATCTCACAATTTATACAAGTACCGATTTTCTTCTGGTAGCCTCTGAAAATGGACTTAGCCGCAAATGCAACCGACTCCGTGGTCCAAGTGACCGTTTTCAAAGCGTCTTGCACGGCTTCGGGTACTTGTATAAATTACAATGGGCATTCAAACTTGTTCAACTGCGGCCCCAGTGACTTTTTGAAAACGTCTCACAATTTATACAAGTACCGATTTTCTTCTGGTGGCTTCTGAAAATGGACTTATACGCAAATGCAACCGACTCCGTGGTCCAAGTGACCGTTTTCAAAGCGTCTTGGACGGCTTCGGGTACTTGTATAAATTACAATGGGCATTCAAATGCGTTCAACTGCGGCCCTAGTAACTTTTTGAAAACATCTCACAAATTATACAAGTACCGATTTTCTTCTGGTGGCCTCTGAAAATGGACTTAGCCGCAAATGCAACCGACTCCGTGGTCCAAGTGACCGTTTTCAAAGCGTCTTGGACGTTTCGGGTACTTGTATAAATTACAATGGGCATTCAAATGCGTTCAACTGCGGCCCTAGTAACTTTTTAAAAACGTCTCACAATTTATACAAGTACCGATTTTCTTCTGGTGGCCTCTGAAAATGGACTTATACGCAAATGCAACCGACTCCGTGGTCCAAGTGACCCTTTTCAAAGCGTCTTGGACGGCTTCGGGTACTTGTATAAATTACAATGGGCATTCAAATGCGTTCAACTGCGGCCCTAGTAACTTTTTGAAAACATCTCACAATTTATACAAGTACCGATTTTCTTCTGGTAGCCTCTGAAAATGGACTTATACGCAAATGCAACCGACTCCGTGGTCCAAGTGACCGTTTTCAAAGCGTCTTGGACGGCTTCGGGTACTTGTATAAATTACAATGGGCATTCAAACTTGTTCAACTGCGGCCCCAGTGACTTTTTGAAAACATCTCACAATTTATACAAGTACCGATTTTCTTCTGGTGGCTTCTGAAAATGGACTTATACGCAAATGCAACCGACTCCGTGGTCCAAGTGACCGTTTTCAAAGCGTCTTAGACGGCTTCGGGTACTTGTATAAATTACAATGGGCATTCAAATGCGTTCAACTGCGGCCCTAGTAACTTTTTGAAAACATCTCACAATTTATACAAGTACCGATTTTCTTCTGGTAGCCTCTGAAAATGGACTTATACGCAAATGCAACCGACTCCGTGGTCCAAGTGACCGTTTTCAAAGCGTCTTGGACGGCTTCGGGTACTTGTATAAATTACAATGGGCATTCAAACTTGTTCATCTGCGGCCCTAGTAACCTTTTGAAAACGTCTCACAATTTATACAAGTACCGATTTTCTTCTGGTGGCTTCTGAAAATGGACTTATACGCAAATGCAACCGACTCCGTGGTCCAAGTGACCGTTTTCAAAGCGTCTTGGACGGCTTCGGGTACTTGTATAAATTACAATGGGCATTCAAATGCGTTCAACTGCCGTCCTAGTAACTTTTTAAAAACGTCTCACAATTTATACAAGTACCGATTTCCTTTTGGTGGCCTCTAAAAATGGACTTAGCCGCAAATGCAACCGACTCCGTGGTCCAAGTGACCGTTTTCAAAGCGTCTTGGACGGCTTCGGGTACTTGTATAAATTACAATGGGCATTCAAATGCGTTCAACTGCCGTCCTAGTAACTTTTTAAAAACGTCTCACAATTTATACAAGTACCGATTTCCTTTTGGTGGCCTCTAAAAATGGACTTAGCCGCAAATGCAACCGACTCCGTGGTCCAAGTGACCGTTTTCAAAGCGTCTTGGACGGCTTCGGGTACTTGTATAAATTACAATGGGCATTCAAACTTGTTCATCTGCGGCCCTAGTAACCTTTTGAAAACGTCTCACAATTTATACAAGTACCGATTTTCTTCTGGTGGCTTCTGAAAATGGACTTATACGCAAATGCAACCGACTCCGTGGTCCAAGTGACCGTTTTCAAAGCGTCTTGGACGGCTTCGGGTACTTGTATAAATTACAATGGGCATTCAAATGCGTTCAACTGCCGTCCTAGTAACTTTTTAAAAACGTCTCACAATTTATACAAGTACCGATTTCCTTTTGGTGGCCTCTAAAAATGGACTTAGCCGCAAATGCAACCGACTCCGTGGTCCAAGTGACCGTTTTCAAAGCGTCTTGGACGGCTTCGGGTACTTGTATAAATTACAATGGGCATTCAAATGCGTTCAACTGCGGCCCTAGTAACTTTTTGAAAACATCTCACAATTTATACAAGTACCGATTTTCTTCTGGTAGCCTCTGAAAATGGACTTATACGCAAATGCAACCGACTCCGTGGTCCAAGTGACCGTTTTCAAAGCGTCTTGGACGGCTTCGGGTACTTGTATAAATTACAATGGGCATTCAAATGCGTTCAACTGCGGCCCTAGTAACTTTTTGAGAACATCTCTTAATTTATACAAGTACCGATTTTCTTCTGGTAGCCTCTGAAAATGGACTTATACGCAAATGCAACCGACTCCGTGGTCCAAGTGACCGTTTTCAAAGCGTCTTGGACGGCTTCGGGTACTTGTATAAATTAAAATGGGCATTCAAACTTGTTCATCTGCGGCCCTAGTAACCTTTTGGAAACATCTCACAAATTATACAAGTACCGATTTTCTTCTGGTGGCCTCTGAAAATGGACTTAGCCGCAAATGC